CCAATTTAATTAAGTATGGGATGTTGGTATCTGTTTGGCTCAGTCCCCAGTCCTTTAGTGTAGGGTTGTGATAAGGTTATTACCCCCAGAGCTTCCAAGTATTTTTACAGAAGGAAGAACCACTGATTACAAGATATGAGATCCTAGCTAATGCAGTAAAATTAGCAATAACAATAGCATCAAGCACAATTTAGAAACTGACAAATCATGGTAACTATTGATTTTGCACTTTAGTCTATAGGAGCAGAATCTATAGGAATATAATAGAACTCATTGTAAGTTAGGAGTTTATATGCAAAGTGTTTTCCCTGGGTAGAGTGGTTTTACCCTGCGGTGGGGAAATTTAGGGAAAAAGTGTACAGTAAAAGATACCTGGCAAGAAAAGAGAAGCAAGGTTGTTGGACAAAGGATGATCATACAAGGTTTGGGAAACTAGAGAAGTGGGTAGAAGAGAATGAATGAATGAAGAAATATTAAAATTATTATCTGAACTTGGTCTCTGTATGGGGGATGGGATTAGTTTTCTTTGGCTGGAGTTCTCCCTAACAGTCAAGATGACAAAAAAAGAAAGAGAAAAGGAGGAAGGAAAAAGAAAGAAAAGGAAGAGGAAAAAACTAGGAAATATAAAATAAACTGAGAAAAAAGGGCTAGTTATCAAGTCCTGAGGTTCTTCCCGAGCTGATTGCCAGTCCTGTGAAAGCCAAAGTCATCTATTGGCTTATATTGCTATTATTACTTTGAATTTTTCACACCACTAGTCTTGCCTGGCTATCATGTGTACCCTTGTTGGGAGCCTTCTGTGTAGCTGGCATTCCCTCTGGCCTCTGGGCCTTCCTGAGCAGTTCACCTCAATTGTGGTAGTAGTGAGGGGAGGGGTCATTCTTTGGGCCTTCTGATGTGGTTCACCTGTGTCACAGGGCCAGAAAAGTGGTTGCAAGAGATTTCCTAAGGGTCATAAACAGCACTATAGGCCAGCACCAAAGAACCAGGGGCTAGGGCACATATATACCAGTTTCTTATTCCCAATAAATTCAAGAGGTAGAATCTTGCAACACAGTAAAAACCCAAAAAACAGTCACACCTGGAAGACATCTTTGAGAAAGGTTCCTAAAAGTTCTAAATACTAGCAAAAAAAAAAAAAAACCTAATCAGCATAAGCAATTTACAAGCTATAAAACTAAAAAACTAAAAATTTGAAAATAGAAATGAAAAGACACTAAAACAAGAAACACCAGACTTCCAGCAACACCAAAAGCAAAAATGGGGACAATGAGGTGAAACAATTCAAAGCCACCCACCTGGATTCTCTGAAGTGATAACAGTAGACATGAAAAGCCAATGAAAGGCTCTAGGGAAAATCAAATCAGAAATAATTTCTCAGCTGACCACAGAGATAGTCACCATAATGAAAGATACACTTAGTGACTCTAGAGAAGATACAGACAGAAACATAGAGGCACTTAGGAAAATGATGTGTACCATGAATGCCCAACATAGGAAAGAAATGAATTCATGAAACAGATTCAAATAGATATCCAAGAGATTTAAATTTTAAATTTTTATTTTTTAAAATAAATTATACAAGCAGAATGAGCCAATGTGAGAACAGAATCTCAGATATAGAAGACCTAATTGTGATTAGCAATCATGAAAAGAAAGATTTCTTAAAAATAGCAAGGGGCCACTAGAAATCAATTCAGCAGCTGCTATATGATACAAAGAATAATAAGATAATACTGATTGGAATTAATGAAAATGTAAGAGACAGTGTGAATGATATAAAAAAATTTTACATAAGTAATACCAGAAAATGGTATTACTAGGCAAAGAAAAAGAATTTGACATATAGAGCAGAGAGACATTTAGAACTCCAGTTAGTCACAATTTTTAAAAATCTACATGAAGACATATCATAGTCAGGATTCCAGAAATTCAACACGAGAATAAAAGCTGTTAGAAAAAATAAATCATCTATGAAGGAAAGCCCAACCAAATCACAGCAAACTTTTCAACATAAATCCTCAAGTCAAGGAGAGCTTGGACTGAAGTATATCAAGCCCTAAGAAAACTAACCTCCAACTCAGCTTGATGTATTCTGCAAAACTATCATTCAAAATTGATGGAGAAATAAGATATATAGAACACTTAAGAATATTGATGACTACCAAACCAACATTCCAAAATATTCTAAACGATATATATTCTAGAAAGAGATAACAAGGACTATAAATCCATGAACAACAACAGAATGAATCCATCAGGCAAAGCAAGCACTTAAACAGATGGGGAAATTATGGATCATAATCAGGAAAATAATGTAATAAGCATAAGTCAGTACCTATCAGTTATAACCATCAGTATGAATGATCTCAATCCACCAATCAAAAGAGACAGATTTGTAGAATAAATCAAGAAGCACAATCCCACAGCATGCTGCATACAAGAAATACATTTAATTCAAAAAGAAATTCATACACTGAAAGTCAAAGGATGGAAAATAATATTCTATGTGACAGGAACCCCCAAAAAAGGAAGGGTAGCTATTCTATTTGCAGGCAAAGTGAATTTTAAGCCAAGACTGATTAAAGAAAATCACTGCATCCTTGTAAAGGGAACAATCCAAGAGGAAGAGATAACAATCATAAATATATATGCAACAAATAATGGTATACCCAACTATATGAACTAATTACTAATGGACATGAAAAATCAAATTAGCTCTAATACAGTTGTATTGGGAGACCTTAATACCCCACAGATCAACTAGACAAAAATTCAATAATGAAATATTAGAATTAAACTTTTGAACAAATGGACTTAATAGATGTCTACAGAGCATTCCACCCTGCAACATCAGAATACACATTCTTCTCAGCTGCACATGAAAATTCTCCAAAATAGATCATATACTGGCTCAGAACATGCTTAAGTAAATGCAAAGAAACTGAAATTATCCCATGCATAGTATCCCATGCAATGAAATTGGAAATCCATGCCAAAGGAAACTACAAGAACTTCATCAACACATGGAAATTAAATAGCACCCTACTGAACAACCAAGGGGTCATAGATAAAATTAAAGAAGAAATTAAACAGTGTTTACAGTTGAATGATAAGGACAACACAACATACCTGAACTTGTAGAACACAATGAAAGCAGTCTTAAGAGGGAAATTTATAGCAGTAAATACCCATATAAGGAAAACAGAGCAAGTACATATAAACAACTTAATGTTGAACCTCAAACTTCTGGAAAAAGAAGAGCAGGCTAAATCAAAAGCTTGTACAAGGCAGGAAGAAACTAACTCACTGAGACTTAAAAAAATACAAATAATCAATGAATTGAAAAGTTGGTTCTTTGAAATGTTACATAAGATTGACAAACTCTTAGCCAATCTTATCAAAAAAAGGAAAGAAAAGACTCAAATCCATGCAACTAAGAAGAAAAAGGGTGAAATCACAACAGACCCTGCAGAAATCCAGAAAATTATCTATACCCACTTTGAAAACTTGTATTCTAACAAAATGGTAAATATAGAAGAAATCGACAGATCCCTAGATACATATGAATTACCAAAGCTCAATCAAGAAGATATAAAAATCCTAAATAACCCAATATCAGTAGATGAGATTAAAGATGTAATTAAAAACCTATCAACAAAGAAAAGCCCAGGCCCGGACATATTTACTGATGAATTCTACAAGAAATTTAGAGAAGACCTAACACCATTACTTCTTAAACTTTAATGAAATTGAACAGGAAATAATACTTCCAAATTCATTCCTGGAGGCAAGCATTACCCTGATACCAAAAGCAGAGAAAGACCCAACTAAAAAAGAGAATTATAGGCCAATTTCCCTCATGCAAATTGATGCAAAAATCCTTAAAAAGATACTGGCAAACAGACTGCAGCAAATCATTAAGTAGATTGTATACCATGATCAAGTGAGATTCATCCCAAGGATGCAGGGATGGTTCAACATGCATAAATCCATAAATGTAATACACCATTACACTAAATGTAATACACTATGTAATACGCCAAAGACAAAAAATCATATGATCATCTTGATGGTTACAGAAAAAGCTTCTGACAAAGTCCAGCACCCATTCATGATAAAAGCCCTAACGAAAATTAGAATGATGGTCTTTATCTCAATCTAATAAAATCCATCTATGACAACTCAATAGCTAACATCATTCTAAATGGACAAAAACTGAAAGCTTCCACTCTAAAATCAGAAACAAGACAAGGATATCCTCTGTCTCCACCCTTATTCAACTCTTAGTCTTAGAAGCTTTAGCTGGACCAACTAGACAAGAGAAAAAATTAAATGGAATAAAGCTAGGAAAGGAAGAAGTTAAACTATCATTATTTGCAGATAACATGACAATCTACTTAGAAGACCCCAGAAATGCCATCAACAAACTACTAGATTTAATAAGCAAATTCAATAATATAGCTGGTTACAAAGTCAACACTTGAAAATCAATAGCCTTCCTGTACACAAATAAGAAACTCACTGTGAGGGAAATCTGGGAAACAATACCTTTTACAATAGCATCCAAAAAAATGAAACACCTAGGAATCAATCTAACAAAGGATATAAAAGACCTCTACATTGAAAACTCAGGATTCTAAAAAAGCAAGTCCTGAAAGAAAATAATATGCAACCAAGACTCATATACCCATCAAAACTCTCTTTCAAAATTAATGGAGAAATAAGATGCGTCCAAGACAAGGAGGAACTGTGGGAGTTCGTGGCCACCAACCCAACTGGAAATCAGTATGGAGATTCCTCAAAAAACTAGGGTTAGAGATACCATTCAACCCAACTATTCCCCTTCTGTATATCTTCACAAAAGAATTTTTTAAAATCATACCACAGTGATGCATGTGCACCCATGTTTAATAGAAGCATAATTTATAGCCAGATCTTAGAAACAACCTAAATGCCCACTGACTGAGGGAGGAATAGATTAAAAAAAAGATGTGGTATTTTTATACAGTAGAACACCACTCAGCCATAAAGAAGGGTAAACTGGAGACTTATGGGTAAATGGATGCAACTTGAGACCATACTCATTAGTGAAAAAGACACACATGTGTAAACATCGTGTTGTCTCATTAATGTGAGAAGCTGAAAGAAAAAAACAAGTATATGTATATGTATATGTATATAAAAAATAGTTAAGATAGTTACTTCTCTGAGTTCACTAAAGAGAAAGATTTTTTGCTACTGTTTGAACAACTGAATTTAGATATCATGTGCTCTGGGTGAATGATTTGGGGATGTCAATGCACAATGTATGTACCATTGTTGCCTGCTGACTGATGTATTTTGAAATTTTGTTGTGCTTCTTCTTTTTTTCGTCCTTCTTCTTCCTCTTCCTCCTCCTCCTCTTCCTCCTCCTCTTCTTCTTCTCCTCCTTCAAATAAAATTGATTGGGAAAAAGAGAAATTCATAGACTGAAAGTCTAAGAATGCAAAACAATACTCTTCATAAAAGGGACCAGGATAAAAGCAGGCATAACTATTCTTTCGTTTTAAATTATTTTTCTTTCATATATCAGTCCTTGAGTGAGGACTTTTGTCTCACAGATGTTTAACATACTTTAAATATTGAATAAAATTGTCAACAGGAGCTGGGGATACAGCTCCATGGGAAAACAGCTGCTTAGCATGCACAACGCTTAGGTTCAGTCTCTCGCACTGCAAATCATGTACATGTATGTATACTGTATTAGCCACTTACTAGTCACTGAGACAAAATACCCCATATCTGCAACTTAGACACAGTGGGGTTTATTTTGGCTTAAGTTTCAGAGAATTGAGTTCATGATTGATTGGCTCTAAGGCAAAAATGGCATGGCAGAGGGGTGTAACTGGGGGAAAGCTATTGAACCTATGGCAGGTAGGGATGGGAGAGTTAGGGAGAGAGGGGAAGTTAGGAGAGAGGGAGAGAGGGTGAGGGAGACTTTTCAAGTCACACCCCCAGTGACCCATCTCCAAACAGGTCCCACCTGGTTGGAGTACAGTCTACCCGTACGCTGAGATGTGAACTCATCAGAGTGAGGAGCATAGCACTCCAAGATTCAGTCACCTTTCAAAAGACTCACATCTGAACACATGAGACTGGGGGGACAGTTAGGTTTAAACTATAATATATATATATATATATATATATATATATATATACATATGTATATATTAGAAAAATATAGTAAGCATAAAATATGTGTAATTCAAATGGCTTTGAAAACAAGATACATCAGACCACCAAATTAATCAAGGACCTCAACTATGAATAAATGCTACTCCTGCACCAATGAATACTGTGAATCATTTAAGCACTAGATAATGGCACTATCTGCTATGACATTTCACAACAAAAATCACATAATCATGTAATTGGCATATAATCATGTAATAACATATTTTTACTCATTAAAAAATTTTAGCGCCGGGTGGGGTGGCTCACGCCTGTAATCCCAGCACTGGGGAGGCCAAGGTGGGAGGATTGTTTCAAGTTCAAGACCAGCCTGGGCTACAAAGTGAGCTCAAGGCCAGCCTGAACTACATAGCGAGACCCCATCTCAATAAATAAATAAGTAAATTTTAGAAGGGAACATTACTAGTACAAATTTCGCCCACCAAGAGCTATTAACATCTCACAGAACACTGTGCTTGAAAACATGATTTGAAAAATATTCCCTTAAGGTCTTAAGGTTTACTTTGACCAAAAATTCAATGTTGTTTTTAATTCCCTGCTCTGGAATAACACAGTGTTCTGACACTGCTGAAAAACACTAATTCAAGAAAAGTATTTAGAAATATAGATTGCTGAAATGTGAGACGAAAACCAGTGCTAAAGGAGGAAAAGAAAGAAGACACAGGAAATGCAGTCAAGTGAACTATGACCACAGGGAGGAATGTATCTCATTTAAGATTAGGCTAGGGACGCGTGGTAGTCGAGAACACTGGCATTCGTCTGGACATAAACTGGACTATAACGTCTCTTGGGTGGGTCGCCTACAAATTCTCTACTAAAAAATTAAAAGGGGGAACCATCTTTGGAGGACTTAGTATCCCAGACTCCCATCTCTGCTCTTCTGGTTTCTCAATACAATAAAAGACCACTAGGGGGAGAAAATCGCACTTTACTGGGCTTTTTATCAGTAGTAACCTCAAAAGTCAACAGATCCCATTAATGTACTCTCATGGGGGAAAAAAAAAGACTTCTATAATACGCACCATCAAGACACCACTTTCAAATTAATCAGTAACCAACACACCTTTTCTGCAGTCTCTCTTGGTTTTACATCGAAAATACCCTACGTATTCTGAATAGTCAGAAGTGAATTCTCTACGCACTGATTTAAAACAGGAAAAGAGGGGTGGGGTATAGCAAAAGGTTTCCCCCATCAGTCAAAGGATTGCGGGGGTAGGCTGTGCGCTGCGTTCAACCTTCCAGATGAGTTACACCTTAATCCAGTGTTGGCACAAGGACACGCAGCCACGCTTTGCAAAAGGTCTTCTTCCAAGAATCCATAGCCATTTTTGGTTAGCCATTGACAGGCGGACAGCCACCGCGTCCCCTTCGCTATGCTCCTAACTAATCTCGTTTTTTCCTCTATGGGAGTAAAAGTATATACACTCATCGCTTGCTTCCAACATTGCATTCAGTATCTCAACCCTTCCGAGCCTGCCGTCCGTAGAAACAAACATACGACACCTATGCTGTCCTAGGATGACACAACAGCCTAACTACTGCGAAAGACTGAACATTAAGCAGACACACCCCAGAAAACCAATCGCAACAGCATCCTACTCCGGGCGGAAAAGCAGGGCGCAGGCGCAGTGACAGACTGTTGCCCGACGTGCCCACTTCTCCCTCCTTCTCTCCTCAATTTCACTTCCGCTCCTTTGCACCTCTGCTTCCGGGGCATTTGAGGCTCGGCTCCTCCTCGGTTTTTACCCTCCTCTGCCAGAGGAGGGGGGAGTCGAGGGGGTGGGGAAGAGTTCGTTGTTTGTTTACACGATGTGAGCGGAAAAAGAGACCAATAAAGTTTATTCTGGAAACAAAAGAAAAAAAAAAAAAAAAAAAAAAAAAAAAACAAGGGCGACAGAGAAAGGAGACGAGGCGGGGGCGTGCGTCGGGGGCTAGCAAGAAGGAGAAAGCGGCAGTTCCGGTGCCGCCGCCGAGGTCTCGGGCTGCTGCTGCGGCCGCTGGGGCTGGGGCTGGGGCCGCCGGCGAGGCAGGGCTCAGGCCCGGCCGGGCAGCTCCGGAGCGGCGGGGGAGAGGGGCCGGGAGGCGGGAGCCGTGCCGCCCGCTCTCCTCTCCCTCGGCGGCGCCGCTGCCGCCGCCCGCGGGGCTGGGACCCGATGCGGTTGGAGCCGCGGAGCCTGGAGGAGCCCCGAGCGTGAGTACAGCGCGGACCGGCCGGCGCCGGCGCGGGCGCGGTGGGGTCGGGAAGGGGGACTGGGTCGGGCAAGGGAAGGGGACGGGTAGGTGCCGGGGACTCCGGGACGCGCCCGCGGTACTGGGCGGGGGCTGTCGGCCCGCGGCGGAGTTCGCCGGCCGTCGCCAGCTTCTGGCCTCTCCCCGCTGCCGAGGCGAAGGCTGCCGCTCCCTGTCCTTTCTCCCGGGTTCCAGGTTTCCTTCCTCTGTCGCTTTTGGGGACGGGGCTGCTGGAGGCTGAGGAAGTGCACCCAGGGCCGCCAACCCGGCCGGGAACCCTCAAGCACACCCTGCCCGCGGGTGGCCGGGCTGCCTGGAGCCCACCGCGAGGGGAACCGCGAGTGTTCCCGAGGGGCTGTCACGCCCGAGGACTCCGGCCCCGCCAGTCCTGCGGCCCTGCGTTCGCCTCCTCGCACTGGGTTTAAATCGCCCGGCAGGGGTTTGCAAGGAAAATCGCTCCCGCATCCCGCAGCTCCCCTCCCACCCTTCCTCTCAGGTTGTTTTTTCCTCTTAACGAGACAATCAAACGTTTGGATTTTTTCGTTCATAGACTTGAGACATTGTCTCATGTGACTTGTCTTTAAGTCTATTATGTGATGCCTGTTTCACAGCTCCAAAGTGGCTCAGGAAAATAGGGTAGCGCCCAGGTTTGGGCTGTGTAAACACCAGACGTTTCAGCTAGTGTGTTTTGACCGCGGCTTGAGGGGATTTATTTTAGGATGCTGAAGAAGTAGTGGTGATGGTGGCCAACCCTGTTACTAGACTTGGGAATCGAAAGCTATTTTCCTAGATGTCAATAATTGGGGAGTTGTTCACGTAGCTGTGTAAAGAATGAGAAAGCACAACAAAAGAGGGCTTTGTAGAACAGTCTGCGTATTTTTTAATGAATTAGAGTTGTGATTTCTTCTTGGTGAAGCTTCCTCATTCCACCACTGCGCTTTAGTGAACTTGCAGAGTGTGGGTTAATGGGGTGATGTTTTGGACCGTAGTTTGTAAGGCTGGGAAGAACACCTGGAAAACTTGGTTAGATAAATTTCTGATAACTCAAGGCTGGTGATTTCTACTACAACTTTTGAACCACGTTAGGCAATGTTGGTCGAATGTTTTCCTGCTAAGAAACGAGTCTCTTGGTTATTTGTTTACATTGCACTGCACAGAATTTATGTGCCTGATTGGTGTCGTAAGGAAAGTCCTGGGAAATACTTAAGATACCGGGTTGCTAAATTAGTTTGGTTAAATCAGAATGTCCAATGTTTTTATTAATAGGCTATCAAAGCAACTGCATTCTTAAGAATTTGTTAGTTTCTCTGTGTATTCAGGTTTTACGATTTTTTTTTCTGAAGCACTGAATTCTGGTTGACAGCATTGAATTCTGGCTAGATTTTCATCTGAACATCACATGTTGTGGAAAATTTTAATTATCAGATTAACTTCTGCAGTGTCAATTATCTAGAGAGCCCTATGAGGAGTGGGAAAGTTGGGGAGAGGTTTTTTAAAGTTTTCCATCCTATCCTTTGGGACTGTGTTTTTGGATGACAGATAAAATTTTTATCCATAACTTTTTCAAAAGTTTTGGGCATTTTTTTGAAACAAGTCCTTTCCTATTAAATCGCAAAATAGGTGGTTGAAAGAAATGGTAAAACTTCAGAATGGCAACAGCATCCTGAGGGAATTAAGAAAGTAACAAATACCAACATTTTATCACTAAGTATACAGTTTGAAATATATTCCTGTCAGTTGAAATTAAGGAATTAAAAATAAACCACATGTAAATACAGCACTGTGATTTTATTTATCCAAAATTTTTTAAAAAATTAAATTGTATATAGTGCTTAACAGGAGACATTACGTACAGATAGCTACTTAAACTGAAAGTGACCACATGAAAGAGTTTATTGTCATGGGGTTCCCTGTATGTTCAAGAGATGGGATAAAAGAGCCATAGCTCTGCGTGACTATATGCATTAGACAGTCTCAGAGGCAGAGCATCCTTCCTCTTAGGATAAGATCCTCTCCTTCCCAAGTCAGTATTCCCTCAAAAAACAATAAAATACTTTTTAAAAGTAGATCACAGTGACATTTTTTTCCAAGAAGATTACTTGGTGTGTAGTTTAATTCCTGTTAGCCCTTTACTGAATAAAGATCTTTTTAAAAAGAGTTGTGATTGTCATAGAAGTTGTGATCTATTTACTTGAAGTGAACAAATTTAATCCCATTTGATGTCTTCAGCAGCTAGAGTAACAGTAAAAGAATCACTTCTCTATTTGATTTTTCTGTGTGTTAAATTCCAAAGTGAGAATGATTTTTAAAATGAAATGTGTTTCTTAAGCTTCACAAAAAATTTCATCTCCAGTGAAAATATTTATGATTTTAAAAATTTTCAACTTTAGAAACATAAGTTAGAATATCATGTTTATTAGTAATCACATAGTTTCTTTTTTAAGTGTTATTACTCTTGAGCTATATAACAATCCTGTAAACAGAGCACTGTCTCTAGGAAATGATATTATCTGAGGCCAGACATGTGGCAGGTGATACTCATCAACAAAACCAACATTTTCAGACTCCTTTCACGCTATCTTACTCTAATCTGCTCCAGCTCATTTTTAGTCTGACTGCAGAAACTAGGCTCAGAGAGATACAATTTCTTTCAATCACCTTTTCCCATATCTGTAGTAATATATATATATATATATATATATATATATATATATATAAAATGTCCCTTACAGTTTACACAGAGGTTTTTAATTCTGGGTATGTGTTAGAGTCATTGAGGGAGCTTAAAAATACTAATACCAGTCTTATCCTCAGAGATTCTGATTTAATTGGTCTGAGCTGGAGCCCCACACATTAGTGCTTTGTTTTAAAGTTTAGGTAATTCTGATCGACAAGATTATAAAATTCTTAATTTCAGGGACCTAAATGATTTTGTCTTTGCTTTTCTGTGTAGTTTCGTTTTTTTCCCCCCTCTACTCTTGAAACTTCCCTGGTCTTTGCATGCTCTCACGAGCAAATGCTGTTTGTACTTCCTGAAACATATGTGCACTTAATACTCTTCCTTAACTGACTCCTACTCATCTTTCTCCTTCCCTCCTTTGAAAAGACCAGTCTGGGCTGGGTGTCTCTGCTTCCTGGTCCCATGGCATCTTGTACTTCTACTATTTATTATAGCATTGACCCCACTGCGTTGTAATTGCCTATTTGTGTCTTCCAGCAGGATGTAAATGGACTCCTTCTGTCTTATATAAGTTGAATTTTCAATGCCAGCCAGCCAGTACATTATAGGCTTGACTGAATAAATAAATATTTTGGAGAGAGACTTATCAGCATTTAGTAATTCATAAGTACCAATCAAGTTCCTATTCTTGACCAGTAATTTTAATAATTTAACGTGTTTGGTCCCTAAAAATGTGCATCCTTATATGGCCACAGATACAGATTTCATTTGGAGACATTTGAGATGTTATAAACTATATCAAGAGAGACATTCAACCCTTGGTGTGTGGGCACACGCATACACACACAAATACACAGATACACACAAACACTCATAATACTGAACAGAATCATCATTAGATCTCTTATTCCACCAGAAATCAGAAAACCTGAAGAAGATCCCCATTTTTTTGCCACAAGCATTGTCTTTGGGCAAGCCTCAGTCACTTTGAGCTGCATCTTCCTGTGTAGTATAAAGGGATTATACTGGTTGTTCTGTGTTATTGGTGGCAAACCTAAGGCACGAATGCCACCGTGGGCTGTTGCTATCATTGAAAGGTTCACTATCACTGTTCTGTATGTTGCTTAGCGATCTGTCCTTCAAATTCTGTAAGTACTAACAATATTCGCTTTGACTCTAATGTGTCTTGGTTCAAAACCTGGTTCATACCTACTAGCAGGATTACTGAGAATAGATTTCCTAATCTGTATAAGGAGGATAATTATTACTCAATAAAGTTGCTGTTCAATTAAATGAGATGATGTAGCTCCAAGAGAGTTCTTGAACTAGATCTCATACTTAACAAGTGTTCCTTTCCTTTTAGGAGGTGTTTGATCTCAGGAGTAAACTTTTATCTGAGATAAAAGGACACACTTTGTAATAAGTTCTGTTTTTCACTTTGCTGATTGCTAGCACTGCAGGTATAGGAACCAAAAAGTATTGTGGCTTTTGGTTTCATTTTCTATGAACCTAGTTCTACAACCAGACACCCAGGTGTTGGTCAACTTGTTTGGGAAATAATCATGACTAAAATTTTATCCTGACAATACAACAAAAGCTAGTTTTTAGTAATATATATATTTTCATGTGGGGGAGAGGACAGTTTAAACTGATGACCTTATACCATTGCCAAGAATGAGTAAAATCAGACAAGCATTTAAAAGAATGGAACACATTAAAATTAAGAATTGTTATAAAAGAAAACTCAAAGATATTGCTAAAATTTCTGTTTAGCAGACCTTAAAATTTAGAGATTATTAGAGAAAATTCTAGGTGACAAAAGAAATATAGGAAAAATTGGTCTTCGGGTAAGAGCCAGTTCCAAAGATAGGCACAGATGTAAGCCCGGCACCAGATTAGTATCAATCCACACTAAGGCTGATATTTTTCTGTATTTGAATGCTATATTCCTTAGTTTTACGTAGTGATTTTGTTTATTTAGTAGTATTGAGAGTAACCTGACACGTGATATATTGCTCTGCTGAAGTGTTTTATCAGTCTTCTCTATCAATTAAAATTGCTTGCCTATATTTCTCCTTAAGTTTACATGAAAAGTGAATTAAATAACTGACCTTTTTGGGAAAAGATACTGAAATAAAAATTAAAAACCATTGATGGGAGAAACAAGTATTAGGATGTAAAACAGAAAAAGGAGGCTACATGCAGTGAAATTTGATTCAACTTAAGGCTAGATTTCCATCATTCACAAAGACCACTTGATTTTAAGTGTACTGATAATGTTTTGTGGCTATATATCTTACATTTGATCCTTTATCACAAAAGAGTAAGAGACAGCCTACAGAATGGGAAAAGTTTTTGCCAGTTATTCCTTGGATAGGACTAACATCTAGAATAAATATAAACTCAAGAGAATTAGACACCTCCAAAATAAAAGACCCACTCAAAAAATGGGCAACAGATCAATAGACACTTCTCACAAGAAGTACAATGGCCAATAAATAAATGAGAAAATGGTCAGCATCTCTGACCATGAAAATACTTAAAAGTTAAAACAACACTTAGATTTTCATCTTATACCAGAAAGAATGACCATTCTCAAAAAAAAAAAAAAAAATCAAATAATAACAAATGGTGATAGAGGCTGTGGGGGAAAGGAAACCTTCTACATTGTTACTGGGAATGCAAGCTAATATAACTACCATAAAAATCAGTATGGAGATTCCTAATAAAAATAAAACTAGGAATTCCATTTGACCCAGCCTTCTAGGTATCTTCCCAAAGGAGTTAAAGACATCATATTATAGTGGCATATGCATACCCATGTTTATAGCAGCACAGTTAATAATAGTTAAATTTTAGAAGCAGCCTATATGCACATCAACAGATAAATAAAGAAAACGTGGTATTTATACATAGTCGAGTAACATTGTACCATAAAGGATAAACTTGAGTCATTCATAGGTTAATGGATGCACTTTGAGACCATAATATTAAGTGAAATAAATCAGACACAGGCTTAAATATAGCACATGATTTCTTTTATGTGAGAAACCCAATATATAAATAAAGAGTAAAATAATAGTAGGAAGTAGGGAGAGCTCTTTCAGATGGAGGGAGAACAAGAGATGGAGGGAAGGAAAAGAGAAGGGAATAGAAAGGGGTGAAAAAAATGAAAGAGTTTTTGCAAATGGGCAAGGGGCCAAGAGAAGGAGCAGGGAGGCAGGCATGGGTGGGGGACAGGAAAGTACTAAAATACGTTATTTGCATGTAGCAACTCCCCACAAGGAATGTAAACATTATGTGCTGCAAACATGTACAAATAAATATTTTTTTAAAATTCTTTATTACATGAGTCATTGGATGCTAGTTAAGGAATTTTTAGATGATCTCGCCCTCCCCACTTAGGTAGTTTAGAGTGTTGGGAGATAAAATACTCCAAGGAAGAGTTTGTAAGTTTGTAATAAAAATGATGGCTTAGTGCTATCATTTTCCCCAGATTTTGTGTTTCTTAAAGGAAAGCTGTTTTTATGTGTTAGAGAGCTCTGGACTAGGTGCCTGAGAGACTGAATTCCAGTCCCAGCCTGCTACTTTGCATGTGCACAAGGAAGCAGATTATTATCATATTTTGTCTGTTTTTATACCTTGATAGAATAGGAATTGTAATGTTTTGCTTGCTGAGTAATTCATATAATTGAGATAATATAAATGATCCCCAAACTATTACATAAAATTATTAAATAAAAGGTATATATAGTAGTTATTTTAAATTTATATCTAATAAAAGAATAATATCTTTTATATTTGGCCTGACAATTAACTATTCATGTTGGTAGTTAGTGTGGCATTTTGTCTAAGTCACGCTTATTTATAAATGGTTAAATTTTAGTAACGTCCATCTTGTATTGCAGTTGTAACAAAGTCTTTCTGTCATGGCCAGCATTGCCATTTGAAATAAATGTAATGGAATCAATCTGGGAGAGTGTGGTAGCACACTCTTGTAATCCTAGCTGCTAAGAGGCTGAAGCAGAAGATTGTAAGTTTGAGGCTAGCCTGAGCGACTTAGCAAGACCTTGTCTCAAAATATAAAAGGGTCTAGAGATGTAGTTCAGTGTTTGCACACCCTTGTGTTAAGTTCCCAGTACCAGAAAAGGAAAAAAAAAAAACAAAAAAAAAAAACAATCTATGTGTTTAGAATGTTTATACTATACATATTAGATTTTAAATATTTATTTTGTAGACCCAAAGAATAGAATCATATTTGAAAATTAAAAATATTTTCTTATATTTCTATTAGTATAGCAATACACTTTTAAAAGTATTACTGCCCCCCCCCAAAAAAGTAGTGAAATATAGGTAAATTACTACACGTCAGGCTTAGTTGATCATTTCTTTTTCTTTCTTTCTGTTTGTTTGGGATTGTTGGTTGGCTGGTTGGTTTTTGTGGGGTTTTTTGGTTTGGTTTTTTTTTTTTTTGGTTTTTGGAGGTTTTTTTTTTTTTTTTTTTTTTTTGGTATCCCGAATTGAATTCAGAACCTCTTGCTTGCTTGTCAGGTGCTGCGCTACTGAGCTAAATCCCCAGCAGTTGATCATTCTTGAGTATAAATTTGAAGTATATAAGAATCACTTTTTGGGAAGTTGTGGTGGCATATGCCTACAACTCAGCTATTAAGGAGGCTGCAGTAGGAGGATCACACATTCAAAGCCAGCCTGGATAAGTTGGTGTTACCCAATCTGAAAAAAAGAATCCTTGCCTGATATGTGCCAGGCCCTGAGTTCCATCCATAGCACTACAAAAGGGGGAAAATTTATACATTGTTTATTAGGGTGCATATTTTTATTGATGTTTGGAAACATTTTAAACAAAGATTGAAAATTTAAGAGGCTGTGTATTACAGTGAAAATAACATTGTATCAGGATGACAAAGTACAGATTCTACATCCAGTTACTAAGTAGACTCCAGTTTTTTTTTTTTTTTTTTTGTCTTTTTCGTTTTTATCGGTATCAGGGATCGAACTCATGACTGCCTGCTTGCAAGGCAGGCGCTTATACCGCTGAGCTAAATCCCCAGCCCCTAGACTCCAGTTATTAATAAGCTCATCTTAGATCTTGAACTTCCAGAGCTTATTCTTCACCTGCAAAATTTCTAAGGTTTTTTACAATTCCCAGTCTCTGTGAGATTCCCCGTATTTAGTCTATTTCTGATTTCTGAGAAGGATAAGTAGTGAGTAAGCCACTCCCTGAGGGAAAGACAGTCTATCTCAGTGTTTTGTATTTTCAGAAACTACAATCTTTTTGTCCGCTTGCTTATGAATTTTCCCATATTTGAAAGCTTCTGTGGCAGCCAAAAGCTACTATTGGAAACGAATGACTGAAAGGATCTTTTTCCCCCTTTGTGAAACCAGCAGTGATTTTGGAAAAACTACACCTAGTGCAGGTTTGGTCATCTGCTTCCTGGCACTGGAAACAGTTGAGATGACTGGCAGGCATTTAGAGTAGGTCATCACGGTACACCAGTTACTGGGATCATAGCAGCCAGCAAACCTGTCACAGTACTCTTTATAGACATTGAACATCATCCTCACTCGTTAAAGACTTCTAGGAAAATATGTTCCATAATTTCCCTTGGTAACCCACCCTGCTAAGACCGTTTTCAGGAAAATGTGTTCCAATCTGAGAATCCAGAGACATAGCAGCCCTCTTTTTCTTGTAGTTCTGTCCTCAGTTATTGAGACAAATGTGTGAGATGATGGCAAAAATCATTGTCCTTGATCAGAAAGTAGTGTTTATGCTACAGATTTTTTTCTATTATTTGTTCAAACTACTTTCAACTTGTGAATACCAACAAAATGCTTTAATAATGAGATATTATTCATTTTGAGTATGTACTCATTTTTCAGCAAGGTAAGCAGATTTTTGTGGCTTATTTTTCTTTATGAGATCTTGCTTTTCCAAGTACTTTTCATGATGGACTTACTGCATGTTTAAACCTGAAAATACTCCTGTATTTGAAAACAACCGACTGCGTTGAGCCTAAAAACGAGTGAATCATAATCTCCCCCTCCCCTTAGGAAGTTAATTTGTTCACAGGTTGAAAACTTTGTTGGTAGTAGTGTTAAATCAGCAACTATTCAGTGAATGTAGAGTTACAGAATACATCATCAAATAGAAAGCAGAATTCATGAGGAAAATTGTGGGGAAAGTACTTAAATTATGCACAGTTTTAACTAATCTGAAACTATATAACAGCAAGGAAAGGAGATAATTATATTTTGGAACTTACTTTTATACTTACTGATTTTATAGGGAGTTTGTTCTTGTATTCACTAGAAAGACCAATTTTCAGCTTTCTTAGTAATGTTATGGGACTCCATATTTCCTTAAAATCATTTTTATTACAATAATGTATAACTACTAAGGCAGAGCTGCAGGTATTATGCTGTGGTCTTTTTTTCATTGAGTATGAATGTAAGACTAATATTTTTCCTCAGCCAAAATTTGGACAAATAATCTGACAACAGGAAAAAATAACTGAATTTAGAATAGTTTTAGAAAATCCACAAGTGCTGTGTACTTGGCCTGCTTTTTCTTTCCTTTTTCTAAATATATATCTTAATAGCTAAGAGGATGTGATCCAAAGCCTGACTATGAAGATTACTACAGTTTTGTAATTTTCAGTAGGTTATTTAACGTGTCTGAGTTAAATATTCTCTGAGTAGTACATATTTTCTCATTCGTAAAAGAAGGATAATTACTACCTACATCATAATAGTATAATGAAGATGAAATGAATAATACATGAAAGCACTTAGGACAGTGCCTTGCATATAGTAAGCACACAGTAGCTATCTTTGACAAGCCCCTTGAAAGTAAGAAGCATATTCATTAATTTTGAAATTTTTAACATTATGTAGTGAATTGAATCATCTGTTTTGGAACTTAATGGATTCAGCCTCTGGATAGTGAATAATTGTCTTCTAACAAGCGTAGAGTATTTATCAGTTCTTTAGTGTTTCCTTTTGGTTCTGTGAAACTCGCAAAAATATCATTCTAGCTATCGGAATCCAAATGGAGATTTAGCTTGATAGCAGTAAAGACATAAGGGAAGAAGGTATTATGAAGTCAGTGAATGTACATTTTCACATCCAGTCTGAGTTTCCTATGGAGCTATTTTTCTCTGTCTATTCCTGGAATCTCAGAATCCCCAGCAGATAGCCTAATAACACTTTGCCATTGATGCAATACTTGTTTCATGCTCTAGGTATTTCCTCTTTCTTCCTGCACTAAAGACACACTGTTTGTATCATATTGTCACAAAGTTCCTTTTATACAAACCCCGTGTCCTGTATTAAAGCTGTTTGTACTCACTTGTTCACTCTATCTTCTATGAAATCTTGAAGTATAGTATTTACTCTTGTATGTGGTTATTCTTTTCTTCACTATGTTGTGAATGCTGACTGGATATTGTATGTCATTTGTATGAAAATAAAGCAGTCATGTGTTTTGATTATTCTATGCATTCAGACTAAGTATTTCTCTTTAATCACTAACATGGCTACCTAGTGTCACTGATAAAAGTTCCTAGGGCTTTATATACTAGGTTTAGTATTGACATTGGTACATTATATAAATGAGACTACTAGCTCATATTTAAGTTTATGGCAAACACACATGTATTTTATGTTTTCTTACCTCACTCTTATTAGCAGTTTTGGCCAACTTTCTCTAGACAGTCTTCAAAGTAATTTACTTTTCTCAAGTTGAGGAACAAACAGTCTTAATTTCTAAACCAGGTAATATAGAAAACACACTTTTAAAAATTACATATATTCTTATAATTTACATGGAGAATGTTTCAGAAAATGTCAGCAATTTTGGTCATAATTGTTCAGATTGTTTCTGCTACTTCAGAGAATAATTTTTTATTAGGAACTTTCAAAATTGTTTTACAATGCTAGATATTGATCCTAAACAAGTGTTCTATCACTGAGCTATATCCCCAGTCCACTAAATGTTTTTAATGCTCGTAAAAATATACAAGTTAGTTTCTTTAGAGGTAGAGATAAGGGGTTTTACTGAAAATGAAAAAGCACTGAGACATTAAACTGCTGTAGTACTGAGTGCTCTGTCACTGACCAGGAACCCTGACATTGAAGTTAAGATACTTAGATTTAAATGATACTACAAAGAATTCTTGCTGAAGAACTGTGCAAGACAATTTCTTTGATTTTCTAAATGTACCCTAGAGTATATTTTCAGTTTATAGACTCAAACCTTAATATCATGAATCTGAGGAATGGAAGGGTTTTGTAATTTTTCGTGCACTAGCTTTCATTAGTTTCCTTAATCTCGTGCTTCATCATACATGTGTAGTCTCTCCATTTCAAAGATGAGGAAACGTCCAGTTAGTGCAGTGGAATCTCATCACATTTAATTTATGTAAAATCATCTGTGTGTACCCAACCAAATGTAAAAATATGATAAAATGATAACCTAAATAGTGTATTCACATCCTACTATTGAGATTTTTCAAAGAAGATATGAGATTAAACATGTGAATTTGCTGTCCTTACCGGGTCTTAGTGTTTGAGTATGAATATCTTAATTGTGTTGAGTGTGATTCTGTTCCTCAGACATGTGTAATGTTCATGCAGCCCTCTTAATACTAAACCAAAGAATCAGCAGCTTGTTCCTAAAAGAGAAACTGCTGCTTAGTCCTACTAGACAGTTTTGTTGGTTCCCAAAATGGATATATAACTATTGTGTATTGTAGATTTCTGTATATCATTGCACAAAACATTCTGTATATATATATGTATATCTGTACATATATAAATACATATATACAAAAATCAAACTTCATATGTTTCATAGATGATTTAAGAGATTTTTCAAGGAAAATGTTGACTCTGTATACCTAAGGACTATGTTTACCTGACCCCATTTCTGGAAGATACCACTCTAGAGACATCACTTTCAGTCACTAGCCATTCAGTAACAAAGTTTCAGACTTGTAAAACATAAGTGGTTGGTTTCACATAGTTATCAGGCAGGTTAGTATTTTGCTACTAGTCTAGAACTATAGCAACTGTCCCAGAGTTTGCTGCATCAAATCGTCTTCTATCAGTGTAAGAGAGACCATGTCTTCTAGACGCAGAAGCCAAGTTTTTAGCTGGCTAGCAAAACAGCACATAATGCCTTAGGATATACTTTTCTCTTTACAAAAATGTAGAAGGAGGAGCATTTCTTCTCCACGTTGTTCAGAAAGAAAGTAAGTTGGGCATTCATGCAAAGAGAATGAATAGTGCATAAGGAAGTACCCTGTGGCTTTGTCACATTGTTTACATTTTCTGTCTGTAGTCATTCCAGTTCTCCAGGCAGAGGAGATAGCAGAACCTCACTTGTATCCATGGACTTTTAAAAGAACAGAGAGAAGAGGAAATGTAAACAGCAGTAAGTCTGGCTCAAAAGATAAAATGTTGTGAGATGGTTCATTTCTAACATTCTACTTCTGTGGTCTTCTAATGTAACTCAAGAGTAATCCATCTAAGAAATGAAGCATATTTTTCAGAAGTGTCTTCAGAATTTGGGCAGTGAAAATATGATCACCATATGTATATTTATGCTTTTAAAACTAATTAGCTGAAAGATTAGCCATCATTTCCCATTTATTGAATAACCCCTGTTCTTGGCAGAATATTAGACCCTACATAATAGTGAACAGTACAAATATAGTATGTGAATGTACAGGATCAACAATTTCCTTCAAAAATATCTTAAATCACTACACAATCCATGTACACAATCTTACGTACAATGTATATACTACCTTATTCCAAAGGTTTTTTTTAAACAAAGCTATAATGTATATTCAGTAATCTAAAACATGTAAGTGATCATTACACATTGTATAAATATATTGAAATTCTAAACTCCTCAAATACTTGCATTTACTGTGTGTCAGTTAAAAATTTAGTGCATGTGCTGCCAAAGTTAGTACATGTCATTTAAAAATTTAAAACATGTTAAAGTTGTATATGCAATATATAAAATAGATGTAGCATTTCAGAGGTTGTGTGGTCTCTCTCAGGAGGGTACACATCTCTGTATACTGGCATATTAGAGAATTTTTGCATTCTTAAGATAATTCTTACTTGATACTCAAAATTCTTTTTTTTTTTTTTTTTTTTTTTTTTTTGTCTTTTTCATTTTTATCGGTACCAGGGATCGAACTCACGACTGCCTGCTTGCAAGGCAGGCACTTATGCCGCTGAACTAAATCCCCAGCCCCGATACTCAAAATTCTTACTTGATACCCTTGTTAATAGTTGAATTATCATTGCTCCTATTTTTTTTAGAGTAGCTATTTTGAGTTCTACATTGTTAAAGTTTGCATTGATACAGTAGTTAAAGGAAGAGGAATAAATACTAAAGCTACACAGGTGCCATTTTTAACACGATATGATTGATTTCTAGGAAATCCAAGAGTCAACTGGGAAATTATTAGAATGAATAGAATGAAATGATATAAGACAGTTTTTCAAATCAGTAGTTCTTTATGAGCGCAGTAATTGTTTAGAAAATATAAAAAATAGTTTATAGTAGTAAGAGACAATAAAAATACATTAATAGAAAAATGTGTATGTCTTTGTGAAATAACTTTAAAAATTGGATACATGGGGAAATTGTGT